TGGATCCATATATTTGGCAATCAATTTACACATAACTGTTTCTGTATTCTTCGCAATTTCAGACGGTTTCAAAATGACACAGTTACCGGCAGCTAAAGCACCAACAGCTGGCAACAGAAGAAGCTGAACGGGGAAATTCCAAGTTCCAATTATGAAGACAACACCGACTGGATCCTTGTGAAGAAATGCCGAATCTGAGAATTGGAGAATATTTCGCGAAACCTGTAGAGGAACTACGTCTAATAAACAAACAAACAGAGAAGCATAAGAATTAAATGAGTCCCAGATTTTATCAATCTTTTAGGATATTAATTTGAAATGACTGCAGAATACTGGCACTTTTGGTGGTTCAGAGCACGACTGAATCTCCGACAAATTTAATAGATCAAGTAGACCAGACCTTTGTTGGTTTCATCCATCCTTCAAATTCATCAAGCGTTTTTGTTATTTCGAGCACCAAGAAAGTTGTTTCGAACGATACTGTTTCATTTTTTGGCTGAATATTAAGACAGTTAATAAAATAATCTAAAAATTGCGAAGAATGCCTAACGCCTTCAAGTTCTAGTGGTAGCACAATCGTACCATTAGACTGAGAGCTGCACCGAAAAAATCCGAAAAAGCGACAGCTTATTGCCGCAAGCCTACCCGGTGAAGGTCCTTATAAACGGCTTCACAAATTTCTTCTTCGTTTTCGATCAGCATCGTTCGTAACGCTTCCAGCTGCTTTCGTCGGTTTGCAGCACTACTCATCATCCCGGCATTGAAAGCTTGTCGAAAATCGTTCACTAGCTTTAAAAAAAAGAAAAATAACCATCGAAAATGAGGAAAGCCACCAAATTTCCGGATGCAAGTATTAAGAACGAAACTGTCATATCACCGGCGATAATAATATTATAACGTAGACACTGGAACAAATGTTAAAGACGAATAGTGGGAGAATATGGAAAGTTCGCAAGTAACGCAATTTATTAAATGGGCATCAAAGCAAAAAAAAAGAACAGTTCAAGCTAATGACTTTTGCTCATCAAGGCTCGTTATGTGATAACTGTTACACATTTGAAATGGATTTTATAGAAATTAGTTAAAAGCTAAACTTGACTTTTTCAAAAATTAATTCTTCAAAGCTGCATTCAAAACACATGAAAAAACCCAACAGACTACGTACAAAAGACGTGAAAAAAAGGCGATCCTGCATCGCAAACTTTTATGATTGTCACTATTTTTCTGAATTAAAACGTCTTATAATTTTTCTCACACGTAGAAGATCTGTGCCCAGTTCTTCAGCCCATTATTTAGGCAATGATTATGGATGCAAAACTTGACAATTAGAGAAAGCTGAAGAGCGAGCGCTGGCTGTGACGAAGAGAGCGATGGTGAATCTACGGATCGTTAATTTATTTCGATAGCAAGTAAATAACTCTTATCCAATGAATAAAGGTAACGTGTCGTATCATTCCCAAACCTCCTTCCTCAGGTGCTAATTTATTAAAGGCTTTAACTTTTTTTTTAATAAAAAAATATTCACACAATACCTTCTCGTAATCCATGTTTCAATCGAATCCAAATCTGACTGAACAGAATGAATAGTAGCTAGTACGTCACACCAGTAGCTAAAACTCACGTAATGCAATTATAAGGAAAATGAGCATAAAAAAGACGGAACCAAGAAAAACGTCTTGAAAATACACAGTATGCATAGGTATGAAATTGCGGTAAAAGATCAAAGCGGATCCAGGATTTCTGCTTCAATTACTCAAAAATTTGCCACCATAAATTTATAGTTTTTTGCTTTGCTGATCCCTGTTTCAGTCGCAGCTTTGAACTGAGGTCAAAAATCCGCAGAAAGTGTGACCAAGGACTTGGTTGCAGTTGATTTGCTTGAAATTATTGGGAAAATTAATCGCCCGAAATTTCAAGCTTGCAGTTTTGTGCTTCTCAGGTTACAAATTCAGATTAGGTTTGGATATGGGGCCATAGACAAGGAACCAGTAAACTGATCTATTTGTATTTAAGTCGTTCATTTCCAAATACGTGCAGTAAATTTTCAGAATTACCAGTGCGCAGCTTCCCTCGTTCACAAGTTACAAAATTAGAAATTAATTAGGAGTCATAAATTATGGAATAATAAGGTAAGAGCTCCATGCTCTTCGAAGTTATTTGGCTAATTAAATTTCCAAAAATTCCAGTTCATAACTTTTCTGAAGCCTGAATTTAGGATGAACCTGAGCTTGAATTTGAGGTCGAGGCCAGAAGACAGAACGAAATGTAAACTGATTTCAAATTTTCGACTTCGCACGCAGTGGTTTTTAGCCCACTGACATGATTTCGTCATAATGCGTTCCTTTTTCGTGAATCAATTATGTCAAAACCCGTAGTTGCAAAAAGAAAGATGCCTTGAGCGAAACACATCAGTAGCCGAAAGAAAAAACAAACACGCTATGGACTCGAACTACGTCCAGACTGTTACTCATAAAGTCCCAATTAAAAAAGAACTATGGAGAGGCTTTTCCAGTACAATTTCATTTTTCCTCTGAAAGTGCACAACCATTTGGCCCACACGCAAGCTACTCTGTGTCAAAAAAAA